CGCTCCTTGCATCACCTTGCTCACATAATAGATTGGAAATTGGGCTGTCCCTTCCTCTCGCAACAACACAGAGCTCACTGCTGTCTCACCAATGGATACATATAACACCAAATCCTCCCCTTGCGCTGGTTTCGCCAATAGCGGTAGGTCGACCAATACCCTCTTCAACTCCTCGAATGCTTTCTGGGCTTCTTCTGTCCACTGGAATTTCGAGCTCTTCCTGAGTGTCTTAAATAGGGGCCCGCTCTTCTCAGCTACCTTAGAAATAAAGCGACTCAGGCCTGCTATTCGACCAGTTAGGATTTGCACCTCCTTCACCTTCGTGGGGGGCTGCATCTCGATCACCGCCCTACTTTCTCTGGGTTGACCTTGATCCCCCTCTTCGTGACCATGTAGCCCAAAAATTTCCCCGATTTGACCCTGAATGAGCACTTAGCAGGATTTAACTTCATCCCACACCTCCGAAGGGTCATGAATGTCTCTTTTAAGTCGTTTACATGATCAATCTCCTCCTTGCTCTTTACCAGCATGTCATCTACATATACCTCCATGTTTCTCCCCAGTTGATCTTTAAAAATTTTATCCACCAATCTCTGATACGTCGCCCCTGCATTCTTGAGCCCAAACGGCATCACCACGTAGCAGTATGTCTCCCAGCTTGTTACAAAGCTGACCCTTTTCCAATCCCCTCGAGCTAGCGGGATCTGATGATACCCTTGAGATGCGTCCATCAAACTGAGTAGCTCACATCCAGCTGTGGAATCGACCAGCTGGTCGATCCTGGGGAGCGGATATAAATCCTTCGGGCATGCCTTGTTCAAATCTCGAAAATCTATACACATCTGCCATTTCCCCTCTGACTTTGAGACCATAACCGTGTTCGAGAGCCACTCTGGGAACTGGATCTCCTTTACGTGGCCCGCCATTAAGAGTTTTTCACTTCCGCTTCAATTACTCTATCCATCTCTGCCCCATGGTGCCTCCTCTTTTGCTTCACCGGCCTTACTGTAAGGTCGATGTTCAAACGGTGTTCAATAACTTCGGCCTTAATGCCCGTCAACTCCTCCGGCGAGTATGCGAACACATCTGCAAAATCTCTTATCACCTTAATGAGCTTCGATCTCACCGGCTCTTCCAATTCCTTTCCGATCCGAAATTTTCTCTCTTCGCATCCCTCGACCATCTGTATTTCCTCTACTTCACCCCCCGACCGCATTTCGGCACTCTCTCTCCCCCTCTCCAGCTTGGGCTTTTCCTCCTTCGACCTCGACCCTCCTGGTCGATCGACCGTCCCTTCCTTAGAGCCTTCTTGTTTCCTTGCCAGCTGTTTGTTGTTGCTCACGGTAGTTTGGTAGCAGCTTCTCGAGGTAAGCTGATCCCCAGCGATCTCACCCACGTTTTCGCCCACCGGATATTTTATCGTCATATGGTACGTGGACACGACCGCCTGGAATGTGTTCAAGCTCGTCCGCCCCATGATGACGTTATAGGACGACTCCGCACCTACGACCACGAACCTCACCATGCGCACCTTTCTCAATTCTCCTGATCCCAATTCCACGGGCAAACTGACCTCCCCCATCGGCATAACCTCTCCTCCATTAAAGCCATAAAGCGCTGTGGTCACTGGTTTCAACTCCATATTCAGCTCCCTGTTGATCTGCACAAAACAGTCGTAGAACATCACATCTACCGAACTCCCGGTATCAATGAACACCCGCTTCACATCGAAGCCTGATATCTCCGCGGTTATCACCAAGGCATCATTGTGTGGCAGGACCACTCCCTCGGCATCCTCCGCCTTAAAACTTATCACCGGCATGCGGGCCGCGATACTCACCTCCTCCCTTTTCTCCTTCATTGCTCGAACGTGGCCTTTCTTCGCATTGTTCGAGTCCCCGTCTGTCGGTCCCCCTGAAATCATATATATCGTGCCTCTCTTTACCTGGCCTCCCTCCCTTTCTCTCTCCCGCTCTCTACTTCTTCGCCCTCTCTTCCCTTCGTCTCTCTTTCGACCATCTCGACCACCTCGCGCCTCTTCATCATCATCTTCCTCACTCCTCTCTGCCGAGTCCTCTCGGCACCTTCTCTTCTCCTTTCTCCTCCCCTTATCCTGATAGACAAACTCCTTGAGATGCCCTGCTCGAATAAGGCGCTCAATCTCGTCCTTGAGATGCCGACAATCCTCAGTAGTGTGACCATAGTCTTTGTGGAAGCGGCAATATCTCCTCGACTTCGGTTGAGTGGGCCCCTCGAACCTCGACCTGGGCCACGTCATGTCTTTCCCATCTATCCCTTTCTCCATAGCCATCAGAACCTCGGCTATCTTTGCGTTCAATGGGGTGTAATCATGGAATCTTTTCCCTCCCGAAATGGGTCGGTCCTTCCACCTATCCTCTCGCCCTCGGTCTTGTCTAGCTCGCCCCTCCCTCCTGGGTGAGGCTTTCCTTTTGGGCGAGACTGTTTTCTCCTTCCCCGACTCCCCTCGACCTAACTCCTCCAGCTTGGCAAACTCCGCCTCAGTCTCCTCGAGATTGATATATTTCCTGCATCTCTTCAATACTTCATCATACGTGTGAGCAGGGGTCTTAGTTAGAGAAGTCCGACATGGTCCTGCCCGCAAACTCCTTATCAGTCCTCCCGCCTTGACCTCGTCAACCGCTGATGGAATCTCCAAACAGGCCTGATTATATCGAGCAACATACTTGCGCAGTGACTCTTTCTCGCCCTGTCTCATCGCCATCAATGTCAAATACGTTTTCTCCTGAGCCATCGCGCTCGAATTTTGATTTGTCAACTTCTCCGCAAAATCCCCAAAGTCCACTATCGAGCCTGGGCGGAGCTGTTGGAACCAGTCGAGCGCCCCTCCCCTAAGGGTTGATAAGAAAGCCCTGCAACTAACGGGATCAGTATATCCATGCAACACAGCCATATTTTCAAACATCCTTACGTGTCTCGACGGATCAGAGGTCCCATCGAACACCAAGTTGGTATCCTTGTAGTTATTTGGCAAAGGCGCTGCCAGTATGTCTGCCGAGAAGGGATGTCCTCGAGCCCGCCTCTCCGCTCGACCATCCACCTTAGCCTGCAATTGGCGCAGCTGTTCTGCCATCCTCTCCATCTCCCGGTCGTGCGTGGGCCCGCCTCCACCATAACTGGACTCATCCTCCTCCGCGTTTTGTCGTGACCCTGCAACAGTATTCGGCGCAGTCGTAGCCCGAGAGAGACTGTTCGTAACTTGTTGAACCGCCTGGGCAGCTGCCTCCGCCACCATTTGTTGCATCTCCTGCCTGGTCATTACCACCGGTTGGTCGGGGACCTGAACCGCTGCTCGCGGCGGTGCTCCTCCTTGGACCGCCGCTCCTCCCTGTTGTTCCCCTGTTCCTTCTGGTTGCACTGCTGCCAAATTTTGTGGTGGTGGTGGTGGCATCGCCGCCGCATCTGCTGCGCGAGCCTCTTGGGCACGGTTGGGGCCGGTATTTCCTTCAGGAATCGCTGTTGCCGCTCCTACACCTTGGAGCACCGGT